CATTGATAATAGATATTGAAAAATTTCAGTGAAAAATTTATTTATTTATACTTCTTGAAATACTTAACTTTACAGACAGACCAATACAAATGGGACTAAACAAAATCTCTTTGTGAAAATGATAATTAACCTAGCTTCTGAATTAAATTTGAATTCAATATTATACATGACCACTCTGTCCAACTACTTTTTGAAAAATTTTGGCACCTAGATATACATGTTCCCTATAACAATACAAAATATGCCTCATTCCAATAGAGAATTATTGATGTTATTCAAAAATTCTCTTCTGCCATCCTTTAGATACTGTGTATTTATATTACACAGTTTTCTAAGATTATATCCCGGGATGTGCAAAATTAATATAAAATTATTTATTAATTATTACTTTATAAGAATGGATGTTATAGTAGAATGATATGAGATACAATGCATCAAGCAATGTTTATGCTCATATAAATATTAATTTTTTTAAGCTAAAATATTATGCTGTTAAATCATTATGAATTTTTAAGCTATTGCTGAAATTTTTTTTTCAATTTTTATACTGTCATTTTATTTACAACGAAGTATCAGTAAAAAAATTCTAAATATTCAGAAATAATCATTTTTTGTTTAAATTATTAATTATATTAATAAAAATTTGAAATTATATTAATATTATATTTATATTAAATATAATTTTTTGCAATTTATTTATAATCTTTTAAATTATAAATTTTTAAATCCTAAATTACTATAATTTTTATTATTAAAAAATGTTAATATTTACGCACATTTTGATATCTAATAAAAATCAAATTATTTATATTTTTTTTATTATTTTTCTCAAATATATATATATAACACAAAATTATAAATAATTTTTTATTTATATTCTATTCACAATAACAAACTATAATAAAATGACAATTAATTGTCTTAAAATTAATATTTTAAAATATTTATAGGATAAATAATTAACAAATGTATGAGTGACATGGAAACGCTTGTTCATAAATTTAATAAAACAATTAAATAAATCAGGTCTTTCCCTTTAAAGTAAAAAGTGAATACCATAGAGTGAATTGTATCATTTTTTTTAACTCTTTTTTTTTTTTATTGAAAATATTGAATTTTATAATTATCAGCAAAAGTTTGCGTGCAATTCGCAGTATTGGAAATGTCAATTAACAAGTAACAATTTGTATGTAATCGGTCTGATGATAAGAAAGTCATTATGTATTTTCTATAATATTACCGGTAAATAGCTACTGCGTTAGATACAATTAAATAATGTGTTCTTATCATTCGTAATTAAATTATATAATGTTGTGTGTGTTAATAATAAATATAAAATGCGAAATAGTATGAATTGAATATGTGCATATGTGATTGCGATAAGAATGTGAGTGTAGTTCAATTTATTGTCCTATTTATGATGGGCAGTGTGAGAAAAAGTTAATATATATGTATATGTATGTGATGGCTCTACATGGCCTATTATATTATTAGATCGAAATTACTATAGTGGATAATTATAATACCCAAATTTTCTATAATTTTGATTTGGTTATATTGATTATTTATTTCATGAATGTACATAAAATTTTATCTGTTATACAGGAAATCTCCATTATAAGTTTAAAACTGAATGATACGTGATACGATATGTAAATCCATCTTCTTTATTAAAAAAAACACAAAAATTATATGAGTATATTTTTTGCTATATATTTATCAATATTTTTTTAATTTATTTCCACTAAAATTGATCATTTGATTTATTAATACTTTCATTAAAATTTTTGATTAATTTAATTTCATATTGAAATAAGATTTTATGTAAAATTTCGAAAATTTAATTATGTTGATTTGAATATTGGCGCGTTGCATGCTACCGACAGAGATACCAACTGTAAATACAACACAAACGTTGCGTCATATTGCGCACTGGTTCCGAGTCGTGTGTCGCGAATCTCGTTTTCGAAAGAGCACGCACACACATGCCGCGTTGTGAAATCAAACTATCGGCCCGGGAAACAAGAGTGCATAAATCACAAACGACAATTCTTAGTGTTCGTCAGATGCAATCTGTTTTGGCGCGTGTGATTGCGTACGTTTCGTGTGACTGTCGATTCACGTATCTGTGCGCGCTCGGTAGGTCAAAATGGCGTGAACCGACTGTGCGATTTTAGGTTATCTTTGCTCGTGGCAAATCACCGCGCGTTCAGAAACAAAGACGCGCGTCTATCCCCTAGTGGCATCCTTTTTTTTAAGTGCTCACCGCGATCCTCCACGTGCGTTTTTGGGTCCGAGTTACATGAGTTATGAAGACGGAATGCCCGCAGGCGGTAACAGTCGTTTCCGCGGTTACCCAGCGCGGATGTCCGAGCGACAACAGCTCGCGCTTCTTCTTCAAATGACCTCTCAGGAAATAGTTTCAGGTAAAAAGAACGAATTCCATTTAAAACAAACTCACGCACATTTCATAGACTTCTTTAAAAGATGTAATCAACGATCAAACAATCGTCTTATCGCATGCTTTTATAATGAATATTTTAATATCATCGAATCGAATAATTAATTTATCTGTATTTGCACAGATGTATGATATTGATCATAAAATTCACTATAACATAATTTCACGTTATATTATATATCGAAAAATGTATTTGACAGTTAAATTTTTTGGTTGAAGAACTATGTGTTTATTTATTTTCTTATATCCGAACAAATAACACTCACACGAACTACGCAATATATATGCTTTTCGATAAACACTTAATTTTTTGCTGTATATATTCATTTTATGGAAATAAACTACAATGCAAAATCGAAGCTAGTTACTTCGCGGGAACGAGTTTTGCCCGCCTGTACTTTCCATTCAGGTCTACCAACCACATAACTTTGTACTCAATTCGACCCCGCGGTTATACTACTACGAATAGCGCCACCCAACTTTGACAAAGAAAAAAGAAAGGTTATGTAAATGTAGTAATTGACGTGCGCTCGAATTCCCGCCATGAGAAAATTGGTCTGACAGTGGCACCGATTGTCGGTAACTTGAAACTACGATTTACACTAGGAGGCATTAATACCTTTGTATATATTCATATAATATAAAATTTACATTTATATTTTTATATCATTTATATGTACATATTGAAAAATTATTATTCATAATTTTTTATATAATAGACAAATATAAGCACATATAATTATATTATATTTAACTTTATAAAAAATTCAATGTTTATACCAATATTATGAATTTTTTGATGAATATCAATATATCAATATATATGTATTAGCAATTTAAGCAATTTAATAAATAATTAATATGTGGAAGATCTAATCAATTGATTTGTTTTTAGGTGGTAATCGAACAGAAAATACAAATACATCAAATACTACTTCAAGGTCATCAAGTTTACAACAACGAGGATCAAAAGGTCGCTGGACTAGTAAAAATGGGGAATCGGCAGTACAGGCATCTATTAATCGTAAAGAAGATTTTCGAATGCGACAAATGCTCGTAAATGGATATGATCTCAATACAAAGGAAACAAATGGTAAGTACCCATAATTCTTGTCATTTTTTATCGTAAAATTTTTATTTTATAAAACAAATTAAACAATTTTATAAACAAATTACATAAAACAAATTATTTTATATTACAAGTTTAGCTTATTCGAATTATACTTTAATTATATTTTAATTAAATGTTTTATAAGGTAAAATTTAAAATATCAAAACAATTTAATTTTCAATAATCAAAATTCAAGTCAAACATATTGAATATAAGTCATTGAATGAATGAAATATTTTCTGATTATTATTATTAGAATAACAAAATATTATCTGTATTGTGCAAAATAAATTACTTTTAATTCATACTTAAATTTTTCATCAATTTTATTCGATATTTTTATTTGATAATTTTTTATTTATATAATATATTTCGCATATATTCATTTTTGTTAGTTTGTCCACTTTAATATTAAAATCTAAATTCAAACTTTTTTTTTTCGCTATTAATAATTTTGAATATAAATCTATAAATTGTCATAAGAATTCTATTTTTTACTTCTAAAATCATTCTTAATAAATGATAACTATGATAATAATAAATAATGATAATAATTCTTTATATATGTATATATTCTTCAACTTATATATAGATAACTGAAATATGATAAAAATTAGAAAGTTTTTTTTAAATATTATGAAGTCGATCACCCCTACTCATTCCTCTATATAGTATAGAGATTCTCGTCGATAAATGAAAGCGACGGTGCACGACCTTCCTAAACGCAGGAAGTCAGCGGGTCCGGGTTCATTCATATACAATCCACCTTCGTTGCTCGGCTATCCTTTCTCTATCCCGTTTCATCTCATTACCCTTAAAGGTCGAAGAAATATGTGAAACGGCTAATCAATTTTTTATTTTTAATTTTTTTTAAATTAATTTAATTTTGAATTACAATAGGTGTGAAATTTCACTACTTATTTTAATATTTATTTATTGATTATGTATGAAATGTATTAAATTTCTTATTATTTAAATATATATATTTATGTAATTACGAAAGTTTAATATTACGGAAATAAAATAGAGAAAGAGAAGAAAATATACAGAATTTAATTAAAAATCGTATTACTGAAAAATGTAATATTTTGTAATAATTACATTATATGGAAGTGAAAAACGTTGTAGACTTTCATTAAAAATATTTTGTTATTCATGAAAATTAAAAATTGATGTATTTTAATAAAAAATTATAAAGAAAAAGGAAAAAAGAGATAAAAAGAATTTTAAAAATTAAAAAATTTAATATAAATTGTTTTCCATTCCTTGGAAATAAAAATGAAATATTTCAATATATTAGAAATATAAAATGAATAAAAAGAAACTTTATTATTCTTTTAATTTTATGAATTACAATTTTTTTATTATATAATATAAATGAACAATATTTCTTACATACAAAATTTAAATAAAATCTTTCTCCGTAAAAATATTTTTCGTAAAATATTATATTTTTTAATGGAAGATAAAAATGTTAACGAGAGAAAATTAAGGGGAAAAGTGAAAACAAAAACGTAATTACGTCATAAAAGATCCGAATAAACTTTTGCTGTATTTATTCACCTCTTAAAAAAGATTAAAAAATAAAAAAATAAAAATTAATCTAAAAATTGAAACGAGTGACATTCCTCTTCAAATAACGCATGATGATATGAACAATAATTCATTCAGAGATATTCCGTTGGTCACTTTCCCTTTTAGCGTATCTTGCAAGGTTGCATAAGTGGATTCGAATCTCCGGCAAAATTGAAATTATTTCATAAAAATAGAATTTAAATAGTATCGTAGGATATCATAACGTCACTAATAGTCGAGAGCGAATGGTGATCTAAGCTGTAAGCTCATATATGAATATACCATATCGGAGACAATGTCTCCTCGCCATAAGATACCTAATAGAGTATTCACCAACACTCTAGTCACAGGTGCACGCCTTCCTTGTTGTTCAGAGGGTTGTGGAGGGATGAAACATCCAGCGTGTTGGACTTGGGAGGGGCGGCAGACAACTCTCGTACAGATCAATACTCGAGACAGGGCCGCACTGTACCACATAATTTTTCATTTCTGCTTTAGATCTAGAAATCTCGCGGCTAATATTTCAGATGGATATTTAGGGTCGAGTTGTATTAACTGTTGTGTCTAAGTTAGGTTAAGTTAAGAATTTGAAATATATTGATATTATATATTATTTAAGTATTAGTATATTTGAATTAAAAAAAATTTTTTCTTATTAATATATTCTTTTAATTTGTTTTTTTTTATAAATTTTAATATAATTAATTAGAGATTAATTAGAATGTATTTTTTTTTAATTATTAATTTTTATTTCATAAGAAATTATTTATTCTTTATTCTTAAATAATTATTTTCGTTTATACTTATTTTCAAGATTTTCATTTCAATGAATAGTTTATGTTCTTAAAGATATTTAAAGTAGGTTTCAACCTAGTTTTATAATCACCAAGATATGTACGTATATGATAGTTGAATATAATATAATATATTAGAAATAAATTTCGTATATAATTATTAGATTTGATGAATTTATGTTTAAAATTTATGAGTTTGAATATTAAAAAAATATTTGAATATTTAAAATTAGATAGAAATGTTATGTAATAATACATATCTATAGCTTTTATTAATTGCTTAATTTTAATAAATACATATTGCATAATTTAATTTCGGTTTTAATTTCAAAAATTTCAAGAATTAATTTCAAGAATACCGTATTTTTTTATAATATTAGAAGCAATATTTGACACAAAGTTGCAATATGTATGTGATTTAACTTTAATATTGATGAAACTTAAAGTATAAAATATTCTCTTAAAATATTCTTTAATTTTTTTCTTTATTGATATATAGATTTATTTATAATATTTAATATATATATATACATCTTCAACTACTATAATCGTAATTTAATATTTAAACTATTTTAGAGAAAAATAAATTTATTTTATATATACATATATATATTCTATAAATCTAATTTGTTAATATATTTAGATGTTAAGTAAATGTTCGAATAATTATTCATAATTTATTTTTCAATATTATTTTGATTTGTGGATCGATTCACTTTCTCTAAATGTTTTCACAATGGTCATTTCTAACGAAAGTTCGGCCCTGGCTTATCTACGAGACGATACCGACGACAAATCCAATGTTTCCACAGAGAATTTCGAACTCGGCTTTAAAGCTGAAGATTCGGTATACCGTATCAGACCTTCTTGAAGAAGTAGTCTTTAATGTCAATGGGCGTTGGACTTACATACACATTTAAAAGATTGCATTCACCATCGATTCATATTTCTCTCTCTAAACTTATATATAATTTTTTTCTATCTCTATTCATCACATATCATAAATACATTATACATCTAATATTAAAATTTAAACCATTTTTATTTTCATAACTAGCTAAAGATCAATGCCTTAATGCAAAAGATATAATATACATGTTTAAATATCAAGATACATTGAAATGATATACGAACTATAAATATCTATTTGCGAGCAATCGTATATATATATATAAAGAATGATGAAGAATTCATTTCGTTTTATATGTATTTATTTTGATTTGTATTTATTTATGCTTTCTCCATATATTGAACACGATTTATCATAGAATTTACAGTTATTTTTTTTTAGAATTTATATTGCCAAATGTAATTAGTTAAAATTTCGAAATCGAATCTCCAATGTAATATAATTAAAGCGAATGCAGTTTTCATCGGACTGGCTGAAGAAGAGAAGGCGGTATCGGGCGCCGCCCGTGTCTTAAAGCCGATAGACTACTTAAGAAATGACGGGCTTGTTTATCGTGACGTCGTTTCCGATCTATTTTCACCAAGAACTTTGTGTATTCACATGAAAGAAAACAACACCATTTGTGTCTACGATACATCTATTCTCTATAAAACTTCAATTTTTAATACAAAATCGCAAGTTATTTATGTCGAGATATGTATCGAATTTTTTCTTTTTTCAATATACTTAATAATACTTTTTAAAAATAATATCATTTGATTGATTTTCGAATAGAATTTTTTTATGTTTTTTTCATAAGTATAATAGATATTGTATTATTATAAATAAAATATTAACAAATGATTAAAAATAAAAATATAAACAAAATCATTTTTTTTATGAATTAATTTCGTTTTGCATTCCATTTTTTCTCAATTTTTGAAGAAGCCATAATAGCATTCTATGTATTTCAAAAAGGACTTTGTATTTCTGCTTATTAAGAAAAATTTAAATGCTTTGTCTCGATCGGTTTACTTTAACCTATAATAATTCTTAAGGAAGTAATTTGGAAGCAAATGTTTTACCTGAGTCAAATTGTACGATTTAGTATGTAATTGTAGATATGTCAAATGTAATTAATGTCAATCACGATAATATTCGTTTGAAAATTATTATACCTGTTTTGGTAATAATATTCTTTATCATTTTGTTCTGATTACAATTCCATTTCAGAATTATTTAAGATTTTTTTGTTTTTACTAAATTCAATGTAAATGTTCAATATAAATTAATGAAAATCTGGAATTACATAATATTCTTTAATATTATTATCATGTTGCTATTTTTTTTAATGTATTTTCCATTGAGTAAATATGCTGTAGAAATTTCTACGTATTTCTTTCATATAATCCTTCAAAATTCGTCACGTCATCTTCATTACTTTATTAAAAGTAACTCTTGAAAAGTTGAAGCAATTTATAAAAAAACAATAAGTTGATAATTTAAATAATGATTTCATTAAAATATTCAAAATATTTAAATCATAAGTTAAAAGTTATTAATTTTAGATATTCATATTTGTAACATTATAATATTTTTTAACAGTTCCATTCTAATTGAATTTTTATATTTCAAACATTTTTCTATTATATTCTTATCTACTTTTTCCTTGTTGATTACAATATAGTGTGATATGTTCATGATAGAATTGTTTTTTGATCTTAAATCTATATTATACATATTGGAATATTCTTACATCTTTTAGCTAGTAATTATCAAGAATATATAATGATTGTACGATCCATAATGGAAATTATCAAGTTGTTTACTGTATGTATCAATTAAAAATTCAAACTTTGAACAATGTATTATATTCACATAATATATTATATTATATATTATATATTCACATAATATTAATCTATTGTCTATGCACCATCTACATACTATATAAATGGTTTTCTGTTTTCTATAATAAGTAAAAATAAAAAAAGAAATTATTCATTGAAAATTAAATTATGATAAATAGGAAATATATTTCATTAAATAAGATACGTGATATAAAAAAGATGAAAACAAAAGTATTAAATCTTGAAATACAACGTTCCTTTAGTTCTTTGCCCATAAATGGCCAGCTTTATTCTAACAGCAGAGATATCGATCGGGAAGAAAACTGACGAATGTCGCAACTTCTCGACAAGGATCGCACACCACAAGTTTACATGACAGTTCACAAGATGTTCGTATTCGGCCCCCTTTATGGGTGTGCTCAGCGAACATTGACTACTTGGAGAGTGTCGCATTTTTTTTTATATAGAATACACAAATACTTGGAAATACTTATTTTAGTTATTAATCTTTAAATGTTAAAATTTAACGGATGAATTGAATGATGAATGTAGATGTAAATGGATTAAATATTTTCTCTTTTTAATTTTTTATATATTTATCTTTATTTTTTTTTTTATTCTTTTCTTATTGGTTATTTTCTTAATAATTTTGGAAGATCGGGAAATTGTTCACATCAATATTTCTTAATCTTCTAAAAATTTATTATTTATTTATTTATTTATTATTTATTTATTATTATTTATTTATTTATTTATTTAGGTTTTTACATATAATTATTGAGATAAAAATGTTTATTTTTGAATTTTTATTTTTGAAATGATAATATACTTCATTATGTTGTAATTCATTATTTATTTAAAAAAGTATTAAAAAATATTTTGAAAAATATTAATAAATGTAATATTTTAAGTATAATAAGAATTTTTGTCATATTTGACTTATAATTTGACTTTAATTGACATGATTCACATTTTTTTTATATTATTTATAAATATTAAATATTTTCATGTATATATTAAAATTTTAATTATAATTTATAATTTCGATTAAGACATTGGGTGGGAAACATTGATTTATTAAAGCATTTAGAACCCTCAATATTTTGTTCACTATATGATAATTAAAAAACAAAGAAACTATGGCAATTATACTAGACTTTCTTCTTTAAAGTAAACGTTGTTTCTCATGTGTGTAAATATCCTAAGAGTCTCTTTCCTTTCGCATTCGTATAGTAAGCCACACATTGACCAAGCACGCCAGTCTTTCTTCCCCCTATAGAAGTTAGTTTGACACTACTGAGTCATGTTTTCACTTTTCCACTCGTTCTACACTTCCTTTGTTTTCCATTTCCTATTTCCTTTTCTCATTTATTCTCTTGCTCTCCATTACGATCATGATCATTGTGAATATCGCTAATTTTATGTTCTTGAAAGATTTTGTCATCGCTGAGTCTCGTTTTTGGAAGACATGTACAGTCATTTTGATTTATTACACTATTACAATCTGACCAATTTACATCATTGTATAAGATAATTTGTAATCCTTTGTTTTGTTAAACAATTTTTAAGTATTTGTAAATTATTCATAATAACTAAATTGGATACATTTTATTTTTGCACGAAAATTTTTCAAATATTTTCAAATATATTATACTATTAAAGTAAATATTATACTATTTCAGAAAAAGAAATTTATTTTATTTGATTTTAAATTAAAAATATTATATTTTTATTAGATAAACAAAAAACTGAGAATAATCAATTTTCTTTGGAATTTATGTATAGTTGAAATAAAAAAAATAAATAATAAGCGATTGTGAAATCGATTTTAATTTTGTAGAAATATAAAATCACTATCAAAGCAAGTTTTTAAATTTATAAATTTATTTATCTTCTCTTAAATAATGATTATTTAAAAAAGAAAAAAAGGATAATTGCAATCTTTCTTTAATTTCTCATTACCATTGTCAAAAATAGTATTTTTGGTTTTATGAAAAACAAAATTTTTATGCTTTTTTTTTTATATAAGTGAATTCTTATACTCTTCTTTGGCTTAGAGCGCGCGAATACACTCGGAAAGTAAGTAAGCGATAATACGACTGGTCTGCTGAGCGCAGGAGCGGCACGTGAGGAAATGCTAGCACTGACACATATGCAGATACAGGATATAACTATAGGATGCGTATTCATATACAGATATCATGGTCGAACACAATTGCACATTTTCTGCAGTTAGGACCGTCTTGTAGAGCGCACGACCAACAGTCTCGTTGGCGGGATCAGCTTGCGTTCGATTGGTGAAAAAGAACGTTCTTGGTTCATCGTTGGTGGGGATATAGAGAAAGGCGGAGCCAATCGTCGACATAGCGACGCAACATGGCTACTAGTTCGCGAGGGG